TCCTGGAACTCACTATATAGACCAGGCTGGCCTCGAACTCACAGAGATCCAAGAGGCTTCACTCTTAAGAGTCTGTTGTTCAAAGCTGCCAAGATGAAGAGCCTTTGATATGATTTTCCTGGGGAGGAAACTGGGTCCAATATCCTAACAAGCCTCCCACATGGGTTTACCACTCTATAAGACTCATTTCTTTTCCCCACGGGCTCACCCCAGCTGTGACCTGTCATTTTCCTTCAAGAGTATGTGGGGGTGGGAGGGGGGGCAGACTGTAATGAAGCTTCAAAAGCAAAGTCATAGAATATGGACTTTGGTCTCCAGCAAGACCTTGCTCAAAGTGTGGCAAGGGGAAGAGCCTCTCCCAGACCTGTTTGACCATGCCTCACCTGACAGTTGTGAGGATCAGATTAGCTGTTCATCTGCTTCCTTTGGAATGGGCTAGTCACTGTGTACATCATTGCTTCTCATGGGGATGACTCTAAGCAGTCGCCTACCTTGCAGAGAGTGACAGGCTGAAAAATGGCCAAGTGCCTCTTCAGGCAAAGGCAAGTACAAAAGAGAGGGCAATGAAGCATACTGGCCCCAAGGGACTGTGTCAAAAGTCATCTCTGCCACCTATGTCTTCAGTTTGTCTTCTTGGCCTGAGTTTACAGAGATCCTGTTTCAGTCTCTGATTATTAGGGTTAACTGGAATCGCAGGTTTGGAGAGACGATTTTTCTTTCCTATCCCCAAAGAAGTGGTGCAGGGTCAGAAGAGACTGTGGGACAGGGACCTTGAAATAGTAGCCCTGGACATAAAACGGTTGCCTGGCTCTTTGGGGGACGAGGGACACTTGTGCACTCCTGAAAGAATGATTCTCTAGACGTGTTTCAACTTTTTGGGGTGCTAGGGGACTGAATCCAGGGGCTCTCGCATGCTAGGCGAGCGCTCACCCAATAAATCACATCTGCAGCCCTCTGGAGACGTCTCACCGAAGCATTTATGGGCCCCATTTCGGTCCAGAGGCAGCACTTGGTGAAGACCTACTTTCCGCGCCCCTCCAGGCCCTCCCTCCTAAGCCCCGAGCCCAGACTCCGCACCTTGACCGTGTCCAGGGGGTGACCCACAAACACCAGGCACACGCCGCCAAACCCGCCGGCCAGGAGGTTTTTAAGTGGGCTGATGGGCTTCGGCTCGTCAGCCATGGTCAGTCTTCTGACAGTCTAGCTAGCAGTCCCGGCAGTCTCGCTCCACTGCCCAGCGATACCGCGGGCGCCGCCGACCTTTCACCTACATTGCGATGGGCGGAGCCTGTACCCAGGACAGGTCGAGAGGGGGGCCTAGCTGGCCCAGACAGGCTTCCGCCAGAGCCTGCTTCCGGCTGCGGGTCCGCCTTAGTGGGCGGGGATTGTCGCATTGCGGTATGGGCGGGGCTTGGGAGTGACAGCCTTGGACCTACTCCTCCAGAAAGTCTTTGACTTGAAGTGCTTCTTTCTCTGGTCCTTTGGGCTATCCACAGAGAACACCTACACCCCTCTATGAGCCAGCCATCCTTCTGAGGTGCTGGAACAACATCAGAAGCACAGCACACAGGTCGTTTAGAGTTTGACAAACCAGGACAAAGATAAATGAAAACTATAATATATCATATGGTAATACCTGCTATGTAGGAAAATTAATCTGGAAATAATCAGAGTGTGTGGGACAAATAATTTGCAACTTTAATTAGTTGAGCAAGAAAGATCTCATTGGATCTGGGGTAAGATGGAACAAGTCCTGTCCACAGATACGGGACAGAGAATAAAGACAATGCAAAAACTGAGAGTCTGTGCCTGTGCTGGTTGAGAAACCACAGAGAAAAGGAGAGCATCTAGTGAGGACAGAGAAGTAATGGAGACATCAGGAGCCTTGCCTGTCACTGAGGATATCACCCTCTTCTGTGAAAGGTTTTGAATAGAGAAGTGACAGTTAAATAAACACACACACACACACACACACACACACACAAAACTGCTGGTGAAACAGGCTGTAGGGAGCAAAGAGGAAACAAAGGCTTGAGAAGTCTAAATGTCATGAGTAGAGTTGTTAGCCTGGAGGAAGGCATAGCACAGAAGGAGGACAGATTGTAAATATGTTCTAAAGGAAAATCCAAAGGACCTGTTAATGAACAGAATAAAAAGTAAGGTATGTGAGGGTGAGGGGATGATGCTAATGTTTTGGCCTTAGCAACTGGAGAGGAGACATTATCTCTTAATTGAGGTTGAGGAAGAGACTAGAAAGAAGCAACATATTAGGAACAGTAAAGGATATTTAGGACATAGAGATTCTATTAATAGATCTAGCCCTTAATCCAGGATTTTGAAAAGAGCCCTCTACTACTGGTGAAATTTGGTAGTAATCAGTAAAATGAGATCACCAAGGGTGTGAAATGTTTAGCGATGGAGTGCCCCTCCAGTGTTAGGGGTTCAAATAGAAGAGGAAGGACCAGGAAAATAAGCAAAAAATTGTTCAGTAAGTAGGAGACCAAAGAATCAGACATTCACTAAGGAAAAGAGCATTAAATGTGGTTGCTGGGTGAGAGTCATGTAAGGTAGGAGTGAAAAATCAGAAACAGGACTAGAATTAGGAAGTCATGGGACCTGGCTGGGCCCCAAGGCCTATAGTAGAAAGATGGCTGGAGCAAGGCCCCAAAACCTACCTATTTTCTATCTTTTTAAAAAAGTTTTATTATTTTTATTTTATGTGCATACATGTATTGCCTGCATGTACGTGCACCCGAATTGTGCAATGCCCTCGGAGGTCAGAAGAGGCTGTCAGATCCCCTGGGACTGGAGTTACAGACAGCTGCTAGCTGCCATGTGGGTGCTGGTATTCGAACCCAGGTCTTCTACAAGAACAACCAGTGTTCTTAACTGCTGAGCCATCTCTCCATCCCCGTATTTTCTTTTTTAAAGATTCATATTGGAAGGTGTGGTGGTGCACACCTTTAATCCTAGCACTCTGGAGCCAGAGGCAGTCAGATCTCTGTGAGATCAAGGCCAGCCTAGTCTACATAGCAAGTTCCAGGCCAACTGGGGCTACACAGAGATCCTGTCTCAAAAAGAATCCCTCAAAAAAAAAAAAAAGATTTATAGCAGAACTGGAGAGATGGCTTGGCTGACAAGAGCACTGGCTGCTCTTGCAGAAGACCTGGGTTTGATTCCCAGCACCACATGGCAGCTAACAATTGTCACTAACTCCAGTCCCAGGGGATCTGATACCCTCTTCTGACCTCTGTGGGCCTTGTATGACATGGATGAACTTTTGAAATTTTTCTTCATTTTTGGTCAGGCATGGTGGTGTTCATCTTTAATCCCTACACTTTGAGTAGCAGAGGCAGACAGATCTCTGTGAGTTCAAAGCCTCCCTGGTCATAGTGCATTCTAGGCCAGCTGGAGCTACAAGGAGACCCTGTCTCAAAAAGACCAAAAAAAAAAAAAAAGTATTCATTTTTTATTTTACGTGTATGAGTGTTTTGCTGCATATATGTTAAGTGCACACATGGCATGCAATGCCCAAGGAGGCCAGAAGAGGGAAGCAGATCCCCTGAAACTGTAGTTATGGATGGTTGTTAGCAGCCATATATGAATGCAGGTTATGGAACCTGGGTCCACTGCACAAGTAGGTGGTCTCTTAACCACTGAGTCATCTCTCTAGCCCCCCCCCAAATTAAAGATTTATTTCATTTTTAATTATGTGTATGTATCTGTGTCTGGAGGTGGTATGTGCAAGTGAGGACAGGTGCTCATGGAGGCCAGAAGAGGCACCCAACGGTGCTGGGAACCAAGCTCAGTTATGGAAGAACAGTACTCAATTTTAAGCACTAAGCCATCCCACCAGCTCCAACCTGTCTATTTTCTTAGGAGATAATGAGGCACTGTGGAAGAATTTTAGACACAATAGTGACATGATCAGATTGTTTTAGAAAATTATCTTGGGGGGCTGGAGAGATGGCTCAGAGGTTAAGAGCATGTACTGCTCTCACAGAGGACCCAGGTTTGATTCCCAGCACCCATGTGGGGCAGCACACAACCACGTGTAGCTCTAGTTTCAGGAGATCTAATGTCTCCTTGTGGCCTTTGTGAACACTGGACTCACATGAACAAAGTGCACACATACACACACACACACACAAATTTAAAAAAAAAAAAAAAAGAAAATCTATCTTGGATGGATAAATTTGTGTGGGGAAAGATTGGGGTCAGCAAAACCAGTTGAGAGAACTATAGAAGTCTTAGTCCGGGACAGTGAAGCCATGAATCAAGGATCATGGATGGGCAGAAAAAGAGACAGGAACCAGAGGCAATGACAAACTTGCAGTAACTATTGATGGCACTGCACTTTAATACCCATGGCAGATATGGGAACATGGCTTGTTGGTGTCAGGTATACTTGTTGGGAACTAGAAAAAAGGCTAGAGACAAAAGCTATAAAGGCTTTAACATAAAGAATATATATGACTATAGAAGACTACATATTGGTAAGAGGGACACGAGAAGAAAAGCCTCAGGCATGATGGTATGTATCTATAAGCCCAGCACTCCAGAGGATGATGTAGGAGGATGATCAGTTAAAGGCCAGCATGGGCAAAACAGTGAGTCCCTGTTAAATAAAAGGCAAGGCAGAGGGTACACAGGACAGTTGGTTCAGTGGTTAAGAACACTTGTTGCACAACCATGAGGACTGGAGTTTGGATTTCAGCACCCACATAACAAGCCAGACATGGTCTTGGGCATGTCTGTAACCCCAGTGCTGTGGAGAACAGAGACATGAGATCACTAGGGCTTGCTGGCTGACAGCCTAGCTAAAAAGCACAAGCTCCAAGTTCAGGGAAAGATCCTGTCTCAAAGGAATAAGGTAGATGGGGCTGGAGAAATGGCTTAGAAGTTAAGAGCACTGGTTACTCTTGCAAAGGACCCAGGTTCAATTCCCAACACCAACGTGGCAGCTATCAACTGTCTGTAACTCCAGTTCCAGGGGATCTAATGCTCTCCTCTGGCTTCTGCAAGCCTTACTTGCATAGGCGCACTTACATAGATGCAGGTAAAACACTCATACACATAAAATAAAAAAAGTTTTTTTCCAGGTGTGGTGATGTATGCCTTCAATCCCAATACTTGGGAGGCAGAGGCAGACCAATTTCTGTGAGTCTAATGTCAGCCTGATCTACATAGACAGCTGGGGCTACAGGGACACCCTGTCTCAAAAAGACCAAAAAAAAAGTTTGTTTTTTTAAACAAAAAGAAATAGAGAGTGAGAAAACAGGGCACTCCACACATTCTTCTGGCCTCTGTTCCCACATACTGGTACATGCACGCCCCCCACATGTATGCATACACTATACCATACATCACACTCACAAAAATAAATATAAAAATAGAGAATAAATGCTAGGTATGGTGAGGATGAACAGGAGTTCAAGACCAGCCCTTATTGCATAGAGAGTTTTTATTTTTTTGCTTTTCAATTAGCAATAATCTGGTCTCAGATAAATGCTATTGGCGATCATATCCCACTGGACAAAGCTGTTTGTTTTTGAGACAGTCTTGCTATACAGCCCTGGCTAGTGTAGAACTGGTTATGTAGCCCAAGATCGTCTCAGATTTGTGGTGATTCTTCTGCCTCTGTCTCCCAAGTGCTTGGATTACAGGTGTGTGCCACCATTCCCAGCAATGAACTGAGCTTTCAAAGTCCAGCCTGAGCTACATGAGCACCTATCTTTAAAAAAAAAAAAAAGGAGCTGGGCATGGTGGTACACACCTTCGGGAGGCAGAAGCAGGTTGATCTCTATGAGTTCAAGGCCAGCCTGGTCTACATAGCAAGTTCCAGGCCAGCTGAGGCTACAGGGAGACCCTGCCTGAAAAAGACCAAAAAAAAAAAAAAATGGTGCTGGAGAAATGGCTCAGCAGTTAAGAACACTGGCTGTTCTTGCAGAAGACCCAAGTTTGAATCCCAGCACCTACATGGCAGCTAACAACCGTCCATAACGCCAGTTCCAGGGGATCCAACAGCCTCTTCTTTCCTCCACGGGCATTGCATGGCACGGGTGCACTTACCTACATGCAGGCAATACATGCATATACATAAAATAAAATTTAAAAAAAGAAAATAAGATAAAATAAGGAAGAGGAGAGGAGAGAAGCAGACAAAGATAAAGATGAAAACAAAGAAAAATAATTATTATTATTATTATTTTAGAAGCAATAAAAAGAAAAAAGAAGATGGTGCCTTGAATCCAAGTGACAAAAGGACCAGATAGTGAGTGATGCTAAGAAAGTTTAAACTTTTAGTAGATTTAACAATTAGTTAATAAGTGACATTTGGAAGAAGCTTACCGGAAGTGGTG